GGTTGCAGAATAAACTGACCCCGCTGGTACCCTCATCTCGACTTCCAGCCTCTAGAGCTATGAAACACTGCATTTCTGTGGTTTAGGCCATCCAGCCTGGGACACTTGTAACAACAGCCCCAGCACACTGATATAGGGGTGACAAACACACTCCCTGTGTTGACTGTGGCACTGGTTTCATGGGTGTGTACACACGTCAAACCTTATCAGGTTGTTTAAAAATGCATGACTGTATGTCAATTATGTTTCCATAAAGCTGTGAAAAGGAGTGTTCATCCACAGAGACAAATGCCACTGTTATAAAAGCCAAAGATAGACCAGAGCACTCTGTTGGGTTGAGATGTTTCCCCAGAGGGACGACACTGGAGTGGATGCAAGGTCCAGGGCTTTCTCCTGCTACAAGGGACAGAAAATTGGACGTCCGTGCAGTTGATTCCCTGCGGTGGCTCAGTGGTCCAGGGGGGTGAGGACGGAAAGTCTCTCTGTGGACTCCCACATCAGCCTGCCCCCAGTGCGGGCTGGTCCCCTTCCCCACCCCGCAGAACAAGAGCAGTGGGCAGTGAATTTCCTTTACACCAGCTGATTCTAAAAGCCTGTATTGGCCCCGAGAGAGCCATAGTTTCACGGCCAGGGTGTCTCCTCAAGTCCTTCTTGTTTGGGGGCCTGTTCCTCTCTTGCCTCCTCCCTTTCACTCTCCCACATCTGCCTCCTTGTCATTTAGACTGGGGAGCAGACCGCTGGGCACCCCAATAGCAGAGCACAGGGTCCACAGTGAAACACTGGCAGTGTGCTCCCTGCCTGGGTGAGCAGCACGCTGTCACACGACGTCTCAGGATGGCTCTGGGTCCAGCCCACTAACTGCACACATCTTAACTAAGCCTCCCTGGGTGCCCAGGCCCATCTGGCTGCCCAGGCCTATCTGGAGAGTGAGGCACAGCCAGCAGAACCAACTGTGACCTCTGCAGGGGGCAGTGCCAGGGCTAAGGACAAGGACAGGGGAGCCAGTGATGGGAACTGGACATGCAGGAGGGGTACAATTCTAAGTAGGGTCATCTCAGCAACAGACTGAAGGGAGATGAGTGAGCCCCACAGCCAACCAGGCAGGTAAACAGCAGGCTAGGCAGGACAATTGCTCAGACAACCACCAGCACAAGGCACACGGCCAAAGGGACCTAGGGAAGCATTTCTGCAAAGCATCGAAGAGGCAGGGGGCTGGAGCCGCGTGAGGGAGGGCACAGATGGTGGGAGACATATCCCGTGGGCAGGGGGAGATCCTGCGAGGCCTAGGGCTGGTGCCAAGGAGGGCAGGCTCAGACTTGGGGTTCCGACCTGGCTGTTGTGTGTGGCACAGACAACTGGGGTGCAGTGGAGCAGGGCACAGTGACAAGAGTGCTAAGGTGATCCTAGCCGATAGGGCCCCGGAGGCCAACTGCAGAGACAGTGCATTCTGCTCATGGCCCCTCAGGGCACATCCCCACCCAGCCCTGAAAGCTAGTGGGACACAGGACATAGGACTCGTACCTTCCTTGGCACAGGCCAGGCCACCAGATCCTCCACCAATCACCAGGAGATCAAAGTCCTGCCGTCCTGCTGGGGTAAGGAGTGAAGGGTAAGAAGGAAGGGCAGGACAAGTCTTGGGCACCGACCCCTGAGGGTGACACACAATTTCCAAAGGGTAAGGAGCCCTGTCCAGTTAAAAGTGACACCGGATGTATTTCACTGGATGGAAGACCCCACCCTGTGGTGGCTGGGGTGATGCACACACACACAGGATGGAGGGCAGTGACTGTGCTCAGGTGGTCCACAGGGATCTCGAGACTGTGCCATGCTGGGGAGACGGGGAGATGCGCAGTCACCTTTGCACCTCCCACCCCCGCCATTCAAGTAGGAAATGTAACTGGCAGGGCCGCTCTGGACTCCAAAGTCACCCAGTGTTCTGAGCCAGGAAGGATGTAAATGTTTTTCTTGCATCCACCTGTCTTTTTGCTGTGAAGGTTACCTTATCATAGGTGAGGGAGAACAAAGAGCTGTCCCCGCATCAGGAAGCACAGCCAGGCCTCTCAGAGTACCTGGTGCACGCCGGGCTCTGGAGGGGACCCACTCTGAGCAACAGTAAGAGCTGTGGGGCCCTGAGTGCCCCACTGGAATGCCTTTGGGGCTCACTGTGGTGTCATGTCAGAGACAGCTTGCATCCTCCACTCCTGCACCTGGCACAGTGGGCTGCTCGAGTCTTCGTTGCCCTATACAAGGCATTGCCCGTGTCTCTTCTGTAAACTACTGACATGGAAGGCAGTCAAGAGACCGCCAGAAAGAGGACGTGGAGGGAGGGAAGGAGAGGGGAAGTAGCTGAGGGCAGGTGTGTCCTTGGGTATGGCCAGCCTGTGAAAACTCTGACCCAGGACCCCAGTCGGGGACACCCAGTGCAGACACAGCCCTGCTCCCTGTGGAGAAACAAAGAAATGATAGAAAATTGTCAGTACACGGAGAGGGAGGGGAGGGCACAGACTGCTGCCAGGGTATCTGGAGTTGACTGCTGCTCCTGGGCAAAGTCCAGGGTCCTGGGTGTGCCATCCAAGGCCAGGGAGCTCACCCCATAGCAGCAGCAGAGCCGGGGCCTGTCAGTGAGAAGAGTGCAGCCATTTCTGCAGCCACCTCAACCGTCCTGGCCACGAGGAAAACGCCCAGTGTCCCACACCCATCAGGGACCTCGGCTCGGTAGATGCCCCACAGGCCATTCCGGGACCTGGGCTCTGCCAAGGACACAGGAACTGGAGCCTAAAGGGGGCCCTGGGGTGCTGTTGAGGAAGCCTAGGGAGTGGCTGCCCAGAGCTGTGTCCAGGCACTCTGCCCACGGCCTGTAGGCAGCCTGTCCCATGGGGATACTCAGCTGTGTCCACCACGCAGCAAGGCTCACCCAGGTTCCCTCCAGGAGGAGGCCTTTGAAGGCACCTGAGATGCCTGCTCAGGTACTTGCGGATCTAGGGGAGCCACAGCTCAGTTCAAGCAGCCAGTCCAAAGTGGACCAAATCCAAAGCCAACTCAAGGACTCTAGAGAGGTCTTAAACTGCTGTCCATTGTTCTGACGGCTTTGCTATGAGCTCAGAGAACCAAGGACCAACTGCTCTTGGAGAAAAGCCACCGCCAGACAAGGAGCAGGAGCCTGCCGGCCAGGGCTGAATTTCTCCGGTGGCCCGTGGGGGCCACAGGAAGAGGCTCTGCCAAGGAGAACACCCCTACCTTCCATTGCAGGTGCCCGTCCTTCCTGCCGCCACAGCAGGGTCCCCACTGAGTCTCCCTGTCCCTAGGCCTGCTGGCCCTAGACCCCCACCCCACCCAGCCAGCTACCAGGCAGAGGGCAGGGAGAGCAGCTGGCCCTGTGGATTGTGGGCTTGCTTATCTTTAGCGGTTTGCTCTCCCACTCACTGTGCACACCCAGGGGCCCTCTGGGTCTGATAATCACTTGGAAGAGGCCAACAGTAGAGCCTTCTGTAAGTGTAGGAAAGCTGCCTTTAAAGTCCGGGGAAGGTTTAGCTAGGAAGGACCCTAAAGAACCCCGGGGTGGGAGGGGTGGGTGCTACTCTGCAGGGTTACCTGGAGGTACCTGTGCACCCCATGCCCGTGGTGCCTCACGGCCTCACCCTCTCCACCTTGGCCAGGCACAGCAGGCAGGGCTGGCCCAGAAACGTCTGTCTGGCCTTTGAGTTCTGAGCCCATTGTCCTCGAATTTTCTGTTCTTCTCTGAGCGTGGTGCCTGGCACAAGACCCTAGCAAGTGTGGCAAGGCAGAGTAAACTGCACGCTGCTCTGGGAGGGCACGTGGCCCACAGGTGTGCTGGCCGCCACAGGGGCACCCTGGCAGTGGGTGTTAGGGAACAGGTGAAGCCAGCAGCGCTGTCCTGCTGGTTTCTGTTCAGGGGGTGCATCAGCTTGCCCCCAAACCTGGGACCGGGGCAGGCATCTTTCTGCTCTTAGAGAAACTGCAGGCCTGAAGTGGAGGAGGAGGCTCAAAATTTGACCAGGTGTCCTTGTTGGGGCTGGTCCTATCTGCTCATCACCCCAACACCGGAGGCAGAATTCTTGGGGTACCGCATCCTGCACAACTGCAAACTAGGCCATGGTGTAACCCGCAGCCTAAAGGGCTCTGGCTTGTGACCACAGGGGCAGCTCCTTTACAAATATTTTCATTGGCTCCCCTGCGTCCCAGAGGCCACAACAGTACATAGGTTAGGACATTTACACATGGACAGTCCTGAACTCCAGCCTACAGCTGGCGGAGGGCCCAGCCTCTCTTCCTCACACACCTCTTCCCACAGCCCCCGGTCAAGGCGCCCTGACCCCATCCTTGCTCAAGCCCTTGAACGCAGACACAAACCCTGCTTGCTGAGCGAACTGCCCTGCCCTGGACCTTGACAGCACTCCCGCACTGCTGTTGTGATTACTGTCCTGGTTTCCGCAGGGTCCTTAGTGGCTCCAGGAGATGGATCTGCTTATCCTTTCCCCACCCAGGGCGCCTGAAGAGCCTGGCAGGCAGTGGGCGTTTAGAGCACATTGGTTCCCTAGCGTTGCCTCCTCACTGATGTCCTGCATGCGCATGTCGTGAGCACTTGCTGTGTGAGACCACCAGGGCCTTGGGGCGGAGATGGCCAGATGTGGCCAATGGCCTGTGTAGGGGATGGTCCCAGGGAATCTCCGGCTGGGTGAGCAAGCACTGGTAACTTTACCCGGCAGGACCTCTGGCAGGGTCATCCAGCCGGCTTTGGGGGTGGCTGGAAACTGCAGGACTCCTGGTCCTAGCTGACACTGCTGAACGCGGGGGCACCGTCACGTGGACAACCCCCGGGCAAACAGCCCGGGCCGGACTCCGCCCTACCTGCTGTGTCCCGAGAGGCGCTCCGCACCCCACACGCCCAGGCCTGCATCCGCCACTGGAAGCGCCCGGGGACTCCCCAAAGCGCCGCCGCTCGAACCGCCATCGCTGCCATTGGGGCCTCGGCGGCTGGGCTGCCCGCCGCGCTGCCTGCGCCGGCCCGGGTGTCCGGGTGGCTGCCAGGGCAAGGCAAGTGCGCGCACGGGCTGCGGGGCTCCACCCAAGAAGAGATCCGACCTACTGCTGAGGTCCGACCCAGAGCGGGAGGATTCCGACCTGGGGTAGGAGTCTGTGGACCGGGAGGTAGGGATTCGGTTGGAGGGGTGGGGAATACGGACCCAGAAGATGGGGTCCGACCGTGGGTGGGGGTCTCTGCACAGGAGTTGGGAGAAGGGGAACCGGACTTGATTGAGGAAGTGCGAGCTCTGTGCCTGTGTGGCGAGATCCGACTTGGGGATAGGGGTGCATACCGGGGTGGGGTATCCCACTTCCCGTGGGGATCCAGACTCCTAGGGCAGGGGCCAGTCTGTGGAGGGAGGACTTTGACCTTGTGATTGGATTGCAGAGACTCGTCCCTCACGTGAGCGAATCACACTTGTCTTTGAGCTGGGATCGGAACCTTGGGCGTGGGAGCATTGTGGAGGCATCTTGGGGCCCAGGTCCAGAGGCGCTCAGTAATACCCCCAACAGGTTCCCTGTGGAAGGCCTTGGGATACCCGCAGGCCTTTCCTTTCAGGGGAATGGCTTCCCCACCAGGGAAGCAATGACAGTAGCCCAAGACCCCTCAGGACTGGATCCAGGGAGTGTGGCCTCATTATACTCCCCGACTCCCCACGCCCCACCTCCACCCTCGCTCTGCCACTGTAGAAAAAGGGGAAGTCACCCCAGGCCTGACTGGCTAACTTCCGTGGTTTTCCAGCCAGAGGCTTTTGTGTCCTTTGCCTGAGACTGAGCTTCCCTGAGTGCCTGCTGCCTCCCAACCCCTAGAGGAGTTCTGAGAGGCACTGCAGGTCCTGTGAGGAGAGTGGTGTCATGGGACCACGCAGCCAGAATCTAGCTGAAACGGTGAGGACAGAGTTTATTCAGTAACTACCGACAGTAGGGAAAAGAGCTTGATTTGCTCAGAGGCAACAGGGTGTTTTAAAAGGGAGATTAAGTTGGGAGGGGGCAGGCCAGAGGGGTGGGAGCTTGAGAGAGTCATTGAAGTGAAAAATTACAAAAAGCAGAATGGGGGGTGGGGGTTGGTCCATGTAATACCCCCTGGATTCACTAACTAGCACTTATGGAAGTTAGGTTCCTAACTCTTTGGAACGCTTCTCTGGGCTGACTCAGCCTTGCCCTGACTCTGGGGGCCCTGGCCCCAGCTCCACACAACTGGGTCCTGAGCTACCTGCCTGAAGGGGGTGGGGGGGGAGGACATGCCATACCTGTAGTGGCTGATACAGCTGGCACGTCTTGCTCACATTTGGTGCAGGTGGCAGGGCTGGCCTTCCTTGTCAAGAGATAGACCCATGCCTTGGCTGGGTCAGTTGGTTAGAGCTCCTCTACCAAAAGGTTGCTGGTTCAATCCCCAGTCAGGGCACATACCTAAGTCGTGGGTTCGATCCCTGGTCAAGGCGCTTAAGATAGGCAACCAATCAATGTTTCTCTTTCACATCCATGTTTCTCTCTCTCCCTTCCTTTTTCTCTTTCTCCCTTCCTCTCTCTAAAATCAATAAATGTATCTTTGGGTGCATTTTACATCCTCGGGTCAGGGAAAGTGACCAGCAGGCTCCCAGGCAGAGCTGTCAGACACACACTTGCTCTGTGTGCCTGAGGATTCGGTCCTAGCTGGAAGCTATTTACAGGAGGGTTGGGCTGATGTTCCCCTTGGGTTCTGCACAGCCCAGGCACCGGGCCCTTCCCCAGGCTGCCTCCTGACATCTGGACTCCAACATAGGCATGGGCATGTGCTGGGGCACTTGGTTGACCTTTGGAACCTTGGGCCCCCATCAGCATAAGGGGTACCAATGGTAGCACCACCAAACCAAGGAGAAAGCAGGTGAGTGAGGAGGACAGGTGAGCCCAGGGGGCCTGGCCAGTCACAAAGCCCTGGAGCTGGCCTCCCTCCTCTGACTTCCTTTCCTCCTCCTCGCCCCTCCTCCTGGACCCAACCCCTACCGTGTCTCAGATGCTGGAAGGCCTACCACCCTTGCTGTTGACAGTTTTATTGTGCCTGGCGCTGCTGGCCCTGCTGTTCTTCCTGCGACACCACAGTTTGTTGCCTTTTTTCTTCTGGAACGAGTGGGTCTTGCAGTCCATCAACAACTGGCTCATGGGTGACAGCAAGGAGCAGCGCATCCTGCGCTACGTGCTGCAGCATGCTGTGGCCGGGGACCCGCAGAGTGTGCTGGAGACCATCGACACCTACTGCTCGCAGAAGGAATGGGCCATGAACGTGGGTGACAAGAAAGGTAGGCGGCCTGGCCAGCAGGCAGTGAATACAGGAATAGGGATGCCGCGCCAGGCAGCATAGCCCCTTAACCAGAGGGGCCTGTTACCACCCCATTTCTTAGTGTTGGGGTGTAGGGACTTATCTGGAGCCCTGGGGGCCACGCCATCTGCCCAGCCAGGAGCAAAGGCTGTGCAGAGAACCCATGTAGAGGGACATTTGATAAACTGTCCGGGAGGTCACTGTTCAGCCCCCACCCCCAGACCAATAGCCAATGTTAAAGGGACACCAGGGGCTCCTTGCAGGGCCCGTACTCACATGCCATCTCTTGGAGTGGGGGCTGGTGCAGGGTGGGCCGTGGGTTCCTGGGTGTCCTGGTCAGGCATGGGGATGCAAAGAGCCCTTTGGGTTCTGCCCAGCTCGGGTGCTGGGCCCTTCCCTGGGCTGCCTCCTGACCTTGGTACTCCAACATGGGCACAGGCATGTGCTGTGCTGCCTCCCTAAAGTCCAGCCCTGGGGACAGATATGACAGCCACTGTCCAGCCCCCTCAGAGCCCTTCAAAGTGTTCAGCTCAAGGAAGCTAGGCAGACCCTGAGTGTGGCCCATGGGCAGGAAGGAATGGGGGCTCCCACGGAGGGCCACTCTGGATTAGGACAGGTAGGAGTCAGCCAGGGACCACGGAAAGGGAGGAACTGGTGTGTGGAAAGGCACAGAGGCCTTAGGGGCCTCTGCAAGCTAGTGGGGGGCTGGGGGTGTATGGTGGGACCATGGCCTTGGGGGAGGGTTGGGGGCCAGGCATTGGGGGGAGCTGTTGCTCAGCCAGAAGGAACAGAGCCAGGACTGGGAGCAGGTCTCCTCCTGCCTGCATTCATCCCCTCTTCCCGCCCTCAAAGGCCTGATCGTGGACACAGTGGTGCAGGAGCAGCGCCCCTCCACGTTGCTTGAGCTGGGGGCCTATTGCGGCTACTCGGCCGTGCGGATGGCCCGCCTGCTGCCACCCAGCGCCCGCCTGCTCACCATCGAGCTCAACCCCGACTACGCCGCCATCACCCAGCAGATGCTGGAGTTTGCAGGCCTGCAGGACAGGGTGCGACGCATCCCCCAGTGACAGATGTGGACACTGACAGGGCCGGGTGTGGGTGGGTGGGAGGTGGAGGGCCCGGGGCCTGCCCCACATGGCTCAAGGCCACATTTATCCTATTGTAGCCAGGCCCACGGAGCCTCCTGGGCCAGGTCTCATGGAACCCCCGCAGCTCTGTGGGGGCGTTCTTGCTGCTCAGTTCCAATGCAGGGCACCCCTCAGAGGGAGGGGGCAGAATGGAGACTCGTTTCGCCAGAACCCCAGAGACACTGTCAGTGGACACTCGCCTGGGTGCCCAGGCTGGTGGTCTCCGACCCCTTGGGCACCGGCACTGACGGAGCCCTGTTGCAGGTGACCGTCATTGTTGGGGCGTCCCAGGACATCATCCCCCAGCTGAAGAAGAAATATGATGTGGACACTCTGGACATGGTCTTCCTTGACCACTGGAAGGACCGGTACCTGCCAGACACACTTCTCCTGGAGGTGAGCTGCGCGGCCTGACCAGGATGGGCTGGCTGCTGGCACAGGGGCTGCCCAGCTGGTGGGCCTCAGCCTCTCTGAGAGCCAGGTGCTCCAGCCAAGCCCTGCCAAGGGTGGCCCTGAGGGTCACAGGTGGCACAAGGAACACAGAGGACTGTAGGCAGCCCTGGGGCAGGAGGGAGACCGGGGGAAAGGGGTTCTGAGCAGCCCTGCCAGGGTAGCAGGGTGGGTGAGCCCGTGGACTGGACAGTCTGATCTGAGAGCGCACGGGGCAGGGGGCAGGAGGGAAGCAGGCTGATGGCCGTGCTGGCTCCCCCAACTGCATGCTGGTGCTGGTTAGGGAAACTGGCGTCTCCTGCCCTCCTTCCTCCTGAGGCCCCTTGTTGTGCAACCCCCCCACTCCCCACCCCCAGACTGTCCCAGCCCTTGGTGCCAGCTGCTCAGCCAGCACCAAGTGGTGACCAATGGGGCTGCCTTGTGTCAGGAGGGTGGAGTGTGGGGCCTGTCATGAGCTGACACATGGAGCTTAATATGAATAACCACTGCCTTGTCCCTCTTGGTGGTCAAGGGGACACTTAGCAGCTCCTTGGCCCTCATGGAGGGCTTGGGATGCTCTGTCCCGCCCCAACCTCCCTGTCCAAGGGCCATCCTGCAGCTGTCCCACATTATCTGCCCTGTGCCCCCCACGGGCCAGATACTCCGCCCGGTGCAGAGGGACTGAGAGCATAGGAGGCATGGCTGAAGGCTGGGCAGCACATCGGACCCAGTGGTTCTGGTGGGTGTGAAAGGGCACAGAATGTTCCAGGATCGGGCTGATTTGGGGCAGTGGGCCAGGGCTCTGTGTGGAGGGCCTCAAATGCCACATGGGGGAGGAGGGGCATGAGGACTCTAAGCACTTGAGGATGAGGTGAGACTTGTCTTAGGGCAAGACCCCTGCTGCTCGTGTGGAGAGTGGGGAGGGAGGGTTTGGTGCAGGCAGCAGGAACCTCAGGGAGGCAGGAGCACTGGGAGGGCACTTAGGGACCAGAAGTTGGGCTGGTCACCTGTGTTGGCCAAGGCTGGCGGTCAGTGGGGAGATGACAAGGAGACCCATGGGGCAGGTGTGGGGCAGGTACGGGGAGCATGCCTGGGCCGGGGGAGCTCCACCAGGCAGAGGAGCGTGAGAACCTGAGAATCGGGTATTAAGGGGGGGAAGCAGGTGGCCAGCCCAGCTGGACCTGTATCACAGAGCGTGAGGAGGATTCTAGCAGCTTTGGTGTGTGCGATGATTACAGAAAGCAGCAGATACTGCCTCTCAGTAACTAGGAAGCTAATGGTTTTCTCCGTGCCCTTGCTCAGCACTGGTCATTCCCTCAAGAGAAGTCACACATGGGAGTGGCCATACTTAAGCGACTGTTCTGCAGCCCCGCACCTGTGGTTATGCAGGTCTCTGGCTTGTGCTGGGTCAGGGCCGGCTGCCCCTGCCCTCCACTGGGAATAAGGGGTGGCGGGGGCGGGTGGCAGTTCAAAGTTGAATGGCCACTTTGAGGAGGCCTCAGTCCCTTGTCACATGGGCATCTCTGCAGGGCTGCTTGAGGTATCCTTACCACATCCTAGCTCACTTAGCTTCCCCCGAAGCCAGAGGCGAGAGAGAGCTAGAGACAGACAGAAGGAGCAGCATTGAGGGCTGGGTGCCTTGTGTGACCCAGTCTCAGAAGCCACACCCTTTGTTAGAAGCCAGCGGCTAACCCAGCCCACACCCACCTCTGGGAGGCTGATGAACTGTGGACATAGTTTAGAATCATCTCACACTTGGCACCCTAGTCCTCCGAACGGCGTTTCCTCCCTTCGGGAATGAGCGCCGCAGGCTTGCTCAGGCTCTGCGGGCTTCTGGCCAGAGGTCTCCAGGGGGCCCACGTCCTCCGTCAGGAGGCGCTTGGTGTCTGGAAGGGCAGCGCTAGTACCGCCTTCTTCTCCTTGATGTCCAGCTTCCTCAGGGATGGCTGGGCCCTAGCACCCTTCTAAGGTGGCCAAAGTTTTCTTCCTTTAGTGCCTTCTTTCCTCGTTAACTAGATGGTTTTGTGTCTGGTGTCTTTCAACTCACTGACAGTCCCACCTGCGGCCAGTGGCGTGCCCTGGTCCTTCAGCGTGACCCTGTGCGACAGCAGCCCTGCTCCCAGGTCGCCTTGTGCGCTCCCTGCCCCACACCTGAGCTGCCCTCCAGGGGCCCCTCTTCTTGGGCTACTCTCTGTTCGGTCTTTTTAGGCAATATTGCTAGAAAGTTTTTTTTTTTTCCTAAGAGAAAACACCCCATGATTCATAATGACACTTTCTGCTCAGATTCTGTCTCATGGGTTGTCCCAACCTCACTGAGCTCACAGTTGCATGTTTTCCGAAGCTCTGGCGGGAGGGCCCTTGGCTTTCCCCACAGCCCACAGGCTGGAAGTGGCCGCAGCCCCCACCAGGAGGGCCGAGGCTGCGGTAAGACTCTGTCCTGGGGTTCACACCCCTGGAGGGGTGAGTTACAGCCCTACGACTTTCAGTCACTTGGAGATGCCCCACGCAGATGGACCCGCCGGTAATGTCAGACCCACCTGGGTCACGTGTTCGCCTTTGTTTATCGAGTTTGGGATTGCTTTTTTTAACTGTTGTGATTATGTGAATAAAAAAATTTTTCTGTGCTTCCAAAGTTAAATCTAGGAGACGAGGTAACTTGGGGTGACCCCTGCCCTAGTCTCTCTCCCCCGAGGTAAACATTTCCTCTTAAGGCTCCTCATTCTACTGTTTCCCGTAACTAAGCAGCTGCTCCAGCAGCTCAGAGACCGTGGTTGCTGGGTGACCTAGGCTGTGTCCTGCTGCTCTTTGCAGAGCCAAGAGCTGGGAATGGTGGCTGGCTGCCCAGGGCCAGTCACTGATGGAATGGGGCATGTCAAACCCGGGGCCTGGGGACGTCCAAAGTGAATCCCTGAGGGGCAGGCTTGTGGGTGGGGAGGTCTGCCCTCCTCTGCCCCCCAGCACTGCAGGTCAGGACGGATTGTACCTCCAGTGACCACCCTCAGGAGCCACATGTTCTTGGCCCCAGGTGATGAGGGACTGCTGGCCTTAGCACTGTGACCCTCCAAATCCTGGCCCCCTTATCACCTCTTCACTCGCCGAGCTGGTGTTCAGTGAGCACCTGTTGTGTAGCACAGGCTATTCTAGGGCCAAGGATGCAGGAGTGAACGGAGGAAGACCCTTCCTCACAGAGCTGAGGTTCTAGAGGTGGGACCTGCACTCAGCACAGCCCTTTGCCACAGTGGTCACTGCCAGGGAGGAGATGGGGGCTGCAGAGGGACCCATGTGACTCCAGGAGCTGGTGAGAGGGCTAACGCCACCATCAGGCCCCCATCTGGAGCCCCCACATGGCCAGGTACACCTGTCCTGTTGGTTTGGAGAAGGTTTGCTGGGCACTTCTGACCCTCTCCCCTCCAATTTGTCTTGCGCCCTGCAGGAATGTGGCCTGCTACGGAAGGGGACGGTGTTGCTGGCTGACAATGTCATCCGTCCAGGAGCACCAGAGTTTCTGGCATACATGCGTGGGAGCAGCCGCTTTGAGTGCACACACTTCTCCTCCTACCTGGAGTACTCGGAGTTGGTGGATGGCCTGGAGAAGGCTGTGTACGTGGGCCCGGGCAGCCCAGCACAGCCTTGATTTCCTACCTGCCCTGGGTCTGGTTATGAAGGGTGGGTGTGATAGGTGTGCTGCCAGCCCCCACTGGCCCCTCTGCACACAGGGTAGCTGGTGCCCATGACCCTGCCACTCAGCCCCACCAGCATTCCCGTAGGGTTTCTTACACGGCCAGGTCCCAGGTCTCTGGGCACAGCAAGTGGTTCCCAGGAACCTCTGGAAACCTGGGCTGTGCACTGTCTGTCCTCAGCCTTCCGATCACCAGGTGGCAGCACTGCCTCGGTGACAGCGCTGTGACCAACAATATACCTTTGATTCTTCTTTTGAGTTCTTTGATTCTTCTTCTGAGATTCTTCTCTTCAATGAAATGTAACTTCACTAAAATTGGTTGACTGTTAATAATCTCATGCACTAATATAATGATTAAAAATACTAAATTAAGCCCTGGCTGGCGTAGCTCAGTGGATTGAGTGCGGGCTGCGAACCAAAGTGTTGCAGGTTCGATTCCCAGTCGGGCACATGCCTGGGTTGCAGGCCACGGCCCCCAGCAACCGCACATTGATGTTTCTCTGTCTCTCTCTCTTTTTCTCCCTCCCTTCCCTCTCTAAATAAATAAAATCTTTTTTTAAAAACACTAAATTAGTAATTAAAGATCTAAATAGATATTTGGATATAAGAGGTCGACTTTGTGTTTCTTTTCAACCACTGCACTGCTCCTTCCCCCTGGTGGCCTCCACTTCAGCGCCAAGCACACGGCACTCCCCTTGACCTTGACTGAGTGCTAATATTGCCTGTGTCCCCTGGGGGCTCCCAGCCCCAGTACACTCCTCCAGTGGCCAGACTGAGGACACCTGCCACAGGCCTGCAGGGATAGCTCCCAGCTGGAGGCTATCTCACCTGGGAAACCAGAACGGGGCAGTTGGCTACCCTTGACAGCCATCCCTGAGCAAGCAGGTGTTGAGGGGGGTGGGGGGGACTCAGCCCTACAGCAGGGCCAGGCACGGTCTCTCCAGCACCTGGCCCCTGTGTGGCACTGAGTGGAGGCACCTTCTCCAGCCCCATTCAGCCTTGTTTATGGAAGAGACAGTGGGGGCAGGCCAGACCGCACAGCTGGTGAGGAGGTGGAGTTGGTTTGCTTCTGCTGAACCCCTCACTGCCCCCAGCCCCAACCCTGCCCCTGCAACCCCCACCCCCAGAGTGTCTGGGCCTCTGGTCACCTCAGAGGCTCCCAGGGATGCTTTCTCCCGGATGAGCCCACCACTCTGCCCAAAGGAGCCTCTGGCCAGGACACCACTGTGGGGCTCCGGGCCCAGGTGACTGCCCAGGAGCAAGCCCACTCCTCTTTGTCCATAGAAAGAGGATCGAAGTGAGTCTGGAAGGACGTGTGTAGGAAACACCGATGGGGCCTGAGAGCTGAGCTCCCACTGGACACCTGGGGCCACCTTCCCTCCAACCCCAACCCCCCACCTGGCAAACAGGGAGGAGTGATCAGCTTGTGGCAAAAGGTCCCAGCCAGGAAAGAAGTTCTTTTGTTGCTTTTTTTTTAATTTTTAAATTTTCTTACAAAAATGTACATGTTTACCAATACAGTCTTATTTTGGTTTTGTTTTTAATGCTTTTTGTCAGTGTTTTTCTTCTGTTTTGAAGTCACAAACAGCAGGCACTGAGCGGCAGTCCCCTGCTGCTGCTGAGGGTCCGTCCTGGAGCTGTCAGGCCCCGGGGCTCCGGCAGACAGGGTGCCGAAGCCACACCAGGGCCAGTGCCCCTTAGAAAGCCCCCCCACTGCACTGGGGTTCCACACGTCCAAGGGCAGGGTGGGGGCAAGGACAGCCTGGCCGCCATTTCACTGTCTCCAATCCTTTCTTGGTTGGTTGTTAGCCCCCCCAGGTGGTTGGCCTGCCACACAGGATGGGAGTCGGAACCCAGGGGATCCCCTCTACCCTCCAGGGTCAAACTCCTTCTGAGCCCCCTCCCGACCCAGCTGCCTGTCCCCAGGGCCAGCCGCCTCGCTCTCCTGGGGCACTGCCTATACAGGGCTACTCTCTCCTATTCCTCTGGTCCCCAAGCAAAGCCAGGCCCCCTCTCCTACTGCCTCCCTGGGGCAGCCCTGCCCTGCAGCCCCGTCAGCCTTCTCTCTCACTCACACACAGCACCATGCACACAGCACCATGTCAGTAAACAGCTAACTCTGTCTAGGGAGTTAGGAGGGAGGGAGCCAGGGGGTGGGAAGGTAGGCAGGTCCAGAAAGTCCAGCCTTGGATCTGGTGCAGAGGCGCTGCTGAGCCCTGCCACCAGGGGGCTCCAAGTTCCACGCAGGGTCTGTGTAGGCCGGCCCTGGAGTTCCCTTCTTCCCACGATCAGATCCCTAAGAATGAAAGGCTGGGCCCAAGCCCTGAGGAGGGAGGGGAAGGCTGAGCAGAGTGGCCCAAGGGCGGGGGGCTGCCTCCACAGACTAGGTGGGTGGAGGTGTATACACAGGCAGCTGCTGCGGGCAGTGTGGGCAGACCCTGAGGATCTCAGCACCAGGGTCAGTCCCAACTTGCTGGTCTTCAGGGGCTGGGATATTTGAAGGGGTGGGGGCCATCCCTGCTCTGGTCCCATCTCCTCAGGGCCCTGACCTGGCTTGTCCTTCCCTGAGAAGGGCATTCAGGCAGCTGGGCTCCAGGTGGTAGAGCAGGGAGGGGTCCCACCAGGGAGCACGCAGGGAGAACAGAGCATGCAGCCAGCAGAGATGAACAAAACCTCTGCCCAGAGAACGGGAAACAGTTGGACAAACAACCAGAGGAGAGAACGTACCAGGCATGCAAGCTAGACCCAGGAGTCAACGGGCTGAGGCTTAGCGTCCCCCACAGCGTCCACCAGCCTGACCGCGGGCCGGCTGGGCCCCGGAGGAGCCTTCCTGCTGGGGTCAGGCTGCAGCAGATGGGCGGTGGGCAGGCGGGTGTTAGAGGCAGAACAGAGTAGGTTAGTCAGAGCTGACTGTGGGCACTGGGCTGGTCAGTGGGGCAGGGCCCATGCTGGTGCACAGGAGGGGAGGGCTGGGACGGAGGGGAGCCGAGTTAATGTGGCTCACACAGATGCAGAGGGATGAGTGAATGCACCGAGGCCTGTGCCCAATGCCAGGGGGTTGGCACAGAACAGGTGGCAGGTGCTGCCCTGGAGGTGGGACCATGAGGGGTCCTTGCCCACGCACACAGGCAGGGTAGGGTGCAGACACACTTGCTCAGACTCCGGGGGCCCTGTGCCCTGTGCTGGGCAGGGCCCTCAGTGACGTGCCCCCTCCCTCCCAATAAGTGTGAGCTTCAAACCATGTGCGCCCACAGACTGACTCTGATGTGAGGTTCCTATGGCGGAGGGGCCACTCCCTGGGCCTTGTCTCCCAGCCCAGCGTCCCTATAGGTGAGCCCCACTTCAGGTGGACCTCAAGGCCCAGACCACCTGCCTGAGCCCCTGTCCAGGCAACCACTACACATGCTACCTCCCTGGGCACCTGCCCACAGGCACTCACTTTTAAAGGCTCCTTCTCAGAGATGTCCCCCGCAGGGGCACTGCCTCGAGCCCTCCACTCCCTCTGGTCTACCGTAGTGTATCCATCTGTGGGCGCACAAGAGGAATTCTGAGGGGTAGGCCCCACAGGAGCAGGGTTCCCTCTTGGCCCAGACAGGGGGCCCCCAGGGCAGGGTGCATCTGGAGAAGGGCACTTACCTGCCCTGCCCCAGCATCACCCTGGAAGCCTAGGACAGGTCTTCTTATAGCCCCTCCCCCAGCTCTCACCATCCCCTGCTCAAGCAGCTCAGGCCTTGCGGGGGCTCACCTGCTCCCCCCTGCCAGCTCAGGCCCCTCCAGCCTCCCCTCAGCTGACAGACTAGAGACCCTAGCTGGGCACTGACCTCTGCCTGGCTGCCCCATCCCTCACTCCCTGAGCACCCCTAAACCAAATCTCTTTTCCAACCAGCGCCTCATGAGAAGCCCTTCCCAGCACCACACACACACACACACATACACACACACACACACACACACGCATGCACATGGCAAAGCCACCCGGCCTGTCTCAGGCACCCCCCTCCCCACTGGAAAACAGGCACCTGTCCACACCTGGGCCAAGAGCCTCCATAGGGATCACGTCCCGGCTGCCTGGCTTCTCGCCATCTGCAAGGCACGAGCAAGCTGCTGGCTGGCTGCAAGCAGCAGTGGGGGACCAGGGCAGATACACCCCCCCATGGCAGGGCTGGCCTCAGAGACCCTGGATACCCTTTGTCACTAACACCTTTGCACCCTTCTCCTAAGCCACTGACCACTGGCACCCGCATACCCCCAATTTGGCACCAATGTGGACACCATGGGTAGGGAGGACGCAGAAGGCTGCAAACAGAGGAAGGGGCTACCCTGGGGCCATTTTTCTGTGAGAAGGCCGGCTTCCCTCCTCCAGTCCTCACCGGCCTTGTTGCCATCAATGCACTGGGTGGAGGGGCTACTCCTGAACCTCAGGGATGGGTTCTGACACCCCCCAACCCCACCCAGTACTCACCGAGGCTCTTGTCCACCAGCGGCAGTGTGCTGTCATCAAAGCCTCCAGAACTCAGTGCTGCCTTGGGCCCCTTGGCATTAGCGGCAGCCGACTAGCGGAGAGAGAGCACAAAACAGGCAGGGGAGGGGTCAGGGGCACTGCGGCAGGGGAGCCAGCCTGGCAAAGGGAGAAAGGCAAGCCTGTACCTGGAAGCGTGTCTTGGTCCAGCCATCCTTTTGCAGGGCACCACGCAGCTCCTTGTAGCTCCACACTGTCTGCAGCACGTGGGACGCGGCCTTCGCCTCTCGCACTGATTGGCTGTGGCCAGGCCCAGGACGGGGTCAATGTCCACTCCCACCCACGGACTCCCCTCCCCCACACCCCTACCCACCTGGAGGCACCAAGGGCCACCAGCGCCGGCACACCACGGGCCTGCAGCAGCGAGCGTGCGTTGTCCAGGCTGTCCGACACGATCTCGTGGATGGTGTTGAGCACGGCCACCACCGTGTCCTCCTCCAAGTGGGCCCCAGGTCGTGCTGGAGCCTGCGCATTGCGCACATTCCGCACCAGCTCAGCCATGGCGTAGCTCCCTGAGGGGCAGGGGCAGGTGTTAGGACACGCCTCTGCCCACCCCTGTGGGGAGAAGGGGGATTCAGGAGGGGGGAGCCCGGGTAGGGGGCTAGGCTCAGACAGGGTGGGGAAGGCTGGAGCTCCAGAAGTCAGGGCAGAGCGATGCAGGAAGGCCAGGCCCCTGACCGCCGGTCCCTCAGCCCCTGCGGCAGGACCCCCAGAGCCACCCACCAGGTTCGAATCCAGGCTCAGCCTCGCCCGTGTCCTCACCAATGAGGTCCTTGTTGCGTCGGTCCAGCGAAAGGTTGCGCAAAGCGATGGCGACAGCGCGCACCACCTTGTCGGTCTCGGACTGCAGCAGTTCCACCAGCACCGGCAGCCCGCGCTCCTTGCGCACGGTGGCGCGAATGTACGTGGCCCACTGCGGCACAGGGAGGCGCTGCACGCTCAGCAGGCAGAGTCGCACCGCCACACGCAAGGGACACTCTCCCACCCAAGCCCTGACCCCTCCCTTCACCTAGGCTGTCCTCCCGACAAAGCCCTGCTCCAGCCACACAACCCCACCTCCCCTAGACGCCCGCACACGCGTCACCCAGGGCACACTGCTTGCAGCCCTAGCACCCCAAGCCTCCCCGACCTTGGGGAGGTACAGTGTCTCCTCCCTTCCCCCCAGCCTGGGCAAAGGCAGGGGCAGGCAGCGACAGGGATGCCTGGGATTCCCTTTCCGTCCCCTCCCTGCCAGATGTGGGCCCTCACCATCCAGTTGCCAGCACTGAGGTTCTGCAGGGCACCGGCTGCAGCCTCCAGGGTGTTGAAGTTCCGGCTCTCCGTGAGGAGGGAGAGGTAGAGACGCACCACCTCGGGCTGGTACAGCAGCTCAAAGCCTGCAGACAGAGCACCAGCTGCCTGCAGCCACCCAGGCTTCTCTACGTCACCACCTCTCCCTCCTCCTCCCAGGGCAAGAGTCACTTGGGACCCACGGATGGGTGGAGTGCAGTCGGGGAATGTTTAACGATGGCATGACCACCCAAGAGAAAGAGCAGTCCCACTTCACGGAGGAACAAACAGAGGCTCAGTGAAGACGCAGGGGGCTTGGGAGATGCTGTTTTTCCCCTGACCTTGCTGCAGAAGAAATGGGATTAGACCTGCCTGGCAACCAGGGCATCCAGGAGGCCTATCGTGGGGTGAAGGTGGCAACCAGGGCCTCTCACCCTGTTAACAGGACTCAAACTCCCTAGCAACAAGGCCCACCCTCCTGGTAGCTAACAGAGGCTCTGCAACTGGAGGGTGGGGCCTAGCAAAAAGACCTGCCTTCCCTAGCAACAGGGTCCAGCTCCCATATATAACTGAGGCAGTGTTACCAGGGGCCTGCCCCTTAGCAATAGGGCCCATCCCCCAAGAGGTCCAGGCCTGGCAGCAGTGCTTCCCTAAGGTGTTCCGGAGATGAGGGGTGGAGCAGCTTTTGGAGGCAGCTTTTCTGCCTGTTCCTGGACATTACCTCCCTGTCCCCTCCATCCACATGCCGTCACCCCCTCTCTAGTCCTCATGCCCCAGGCTCCCCCCACTCCAGCCTGGCTAGGCTTCCGGTTCCCCAAACACATTGCCCCTCAGGTGTTGGCCCAGGCTGATTCCTCAGCCTGTGATGCTCCCTGATGCCTCCTGTGGCGGGTCCCCTCCATTCTGCTCAGGAGCGTCTGGGCTCACAGGGTGGGCTGCGGCTTGGGGTTTCTCTCTCTCTCTGACTCAGGCTGGATTCCCTTCACACACATCAATGCCAGCACATAGGAGGGCTCCAACAGACAGGGGACTAGCGGCACAAACCACTCTGCCCCTGCATGAATTAGGGTGACCTGGCCTAGCCTCCGAACTGGACCTGACTGCAGCCCCCCGCACCCAAACCCCTCGGAGCACACCTGAGCCCCCCGGCTTGCACTAGACGCCCTGCCGGCCAGCCCTGCCCTTCTCTGAGGGCCTCACTCCAAAGCTGTGTGACCCAGCAAGTGCCTGGCCTCTCCAACCCCTGACATGACCTGTGGCACTGACCCCGACTCTAAACCCTCTGCAGGGGCGGAGGGCCTGGCTGGTTTTCTGGGGAAGCCCACACCCGTGGGCCTGTTTCCCCGTTGAATCCCCAGGGCCCTTTCGGCCTGCACAGAGCTTCGCTGGTTGGACCGTCCTGATCCTGGACTCCACCTCCACTCACTCACCCTTGGCAGCCTCAGTTCTCTTGGGCAGGTCCAGTGTGTCGAAGTTTCGGTCCATCTCACCATCCTTCTTCCCTGGAACAGAAGAGCAGTGGGCGGTGAGACGGACCCTGTTGGGGGCAGGTGTGTGACAGGAGGGCTGGGCACAGCACTTTCCTGCCCAGAGCCAAGAAAGCACGCCCATTTCTAGAAGGAGGCACCCAGGGGCCGGAGGAGCAGAGGCGTTCTTAGCTCAGGTAGGCAGGGCGGCCCCAGGGAGGGCAGTGGTGGCAGTGGGCCTGGGGCCATCCCAGCCTTGCCCCAGCAGCCAGGGCTCATCTCCCGTCAGGTGCTGGGAGCTACACTGCAGACACGCCCAGTGGCCTCCTTGTGGCTGCCAGGTGGGGAGGTACAGAGGAGGGAGCCGAGGGCTGGCAGGGACGGGACATGCCAGGCTACACAGTGAGGCAGGGCTGTGGGAAGCCTGCCCGTCTAGGACCTAGACCGGGAGAGACCCTGCACACAGGCCAAACCCCTACAGCAGCGCCCCCTAATGCCTGTCAGCCTCGACCTGTATCCTTCAGCGCCTGCACCACCTCCTCCCAGCCGCCCTCCCCACCACCGATGAATAAGTTTCTCCTCCTCTGGAAGGCAGCAGAGCGGAGTTTAGATGATCTGGGACCTAACCCTGCCTGGCCTCCAGGGGCCTTTATTCGGTCCCGGCCTAAGCCACACATGTCCCATCCCACTGGAGGGACATCCCCGGGCCCTGCCCACACTGGCTCCACTCCAGTTCCAGCTCTAGGACCGGCTCTTCCTGGGGAGCAAAGGCTGAGGCTACAGAAGAACAGCCTTCTGGCCTCCAAACCAATCCAGGGCTGACATTCCTGCCGTTGTCATGGAGACGGTTGCCCAGAGGAGGCCCTGGGGATGGGGCAGGGCTTTGAGGCTGGCAGGCCCTGCCTGAGTAACAAGGGGTGGGGGGTGCCTCCCTGGTGCCCACTGCACCCGCCAGGCCTGGATGGCAGGACAAACAGGGACTCACCTTGATGGAACCAGTCCTCTGGGCGGCCGGAGGAAGCACAGGAGAAAGGAGACGAGCCTGAGCGGGCAGCACCCCCCGAGCCTGCCCAGGGCGTCTCAGCTTCCCACTGCACACCTGGGTTTGAGCGGGTGGCACTTGGAATCTCACCCCAGCTATTCTGGGGCGCTGGGTGCCCACAAGTAGTACAGGGCACTGACTGTGTACTAGAAAAGGCCCACACAGGTGGGACAGGTGAAGGTGGGAGGATCCACCTGGCAGCTGCAGGGTAATGTTGGAACCTGCCCTGGAGGTGGGGGTGGTATTCAGGTGGGACAGGGCGCAGCCTCAGAGCTTCTCCAGAGCTCCAGAGGGTCTCGTGCGCTCTACCAATGCCAGGAGGGAGCATCAGCTTTGGCACTTTCCAAACTCGGGCCCATAGAACCCTCCCTGGAGTTAAGGAACGAGGTCCAGGCACCGGTCAGAACCACCACATAGGTTCTCTCCTGTCCTCCCCTGAGGTCCCCACAGGACAGAGGGGTAAAGGTGGGGCCTGTCGGATGGGTACCCTGGGGTGGTGCACCCTTCTTGGCACCCTGCTTCCCCACATGCCCACTGGGGGGCAGCGGGGAGTGGTTCTAGAGTGGTACCCCAGTCCCACCCACACACCTTTGGCCTTCTTGCCACCGAAGCAGCCAGCGTCATCCCGCCTCCGGTGCTGGGAGCCTGCAGTACTGCCCGGGGGCCCAGGCTCCGCCTCCTGGTACCTGTCGGCCCCGGGCACCTCCTTGTGCACATGGTAGGACAGGTTCCGCATGATGCAGACGCAGTTCTCCACCGACTGTGGGGAGAAGAGAGCTGGTGGGGAACGGCACAGGGAACGCTGAACCTTGAAGAGAAGAGTGGCCACAGCCAGTGTGCGCCGAGTGGCCCGGGGCTGCAGAGAAATGCAGGCCCCACACGGGCAAGAACCCTCAGGGAAGGGCCGAGAGAGGAGCAGGGGGGAACACCTACTTCAGGTAGGACCCTGTCTGGGCTTGGTGGCAGGCCCGCTCCACAGTATGGTCAATACGAGGTGCCCGAGACGTGCGGGCCAGTTCCAGTCTGTGTGCCCATATAGTTCTAGCCCCCGTGGGCCACTTTCACTCCATCTCTAACCTTTTGAGGGAGGTTTCAAGACTGACCCTGCCTGGCACCTGCTGGGACCTTCCTGTCCCTGTCAGCCCACCTTGTTGTCCGTGTCCTTCCTGCCCACAGCTGACTGCAGGGCATGCAGGAGCGCGTCCACCAGCCCTTCACACTCCCGAAGTCGCCGCCGGGCCTCTGCACCATCTGAGCTCACGTTCCTGGATGGCCAAGAGCAAGCTCTGTGACCCCTGGCTCCCACAGAAATACCCCCAGTCCCCCACCTGGCCTTGGGGGTTAGTTTTCCTCTGCAGAATGGGCGCTAACGCTGCCCTGTTGGGATTTTTGGCAGACGGCACCAGCCTGCAGCAGGGAAGGAAGGTGGGGCTGCCTAACCACTGACACCTGGGGAGGGGGCTCCAGCCTGGCATCTCCGTGGCTGGGGTGGGGGTGGGGGCTTTTCTGACTTCCACCTGAATTAGAAAGGGGCAGAGGTGGGTCCAGAGGCCTGAATCTGTGCACAGGCAGCTCTGGTTCCTGCCCCAGTGACATCTCTGGGTTCTGCTTTTCCCGAGGCCAGGACCCTATTGGGCCATGAGGGCACAGTTTGATGGGCAGCCAGGACTGTGGAGACCCAGGACTGCCTTCAGGGTCCCTGCAGGGCCTCCCAGGGTGTCAGAGGAGAGGTCATAGCGGGCGGGGTGAGCCCCCTGAGGCAGATTGAAGATGAGGACCCTGGCTCCCCATTCCCTGGATGTCACAATGATGGCAGAGTGGGTTGAAGCCGGGCAGGGACAGGGCATAACAAGGTGGCAGAGCTTGTCCAGAGGCGGCCCTTGGGAGTAAGTACAGCCCCGTCAGGACCCAACCTCAGGACTCAGACAGGAATTGTGACAGGGCTCTGAGCCCTGGGACTCGGGCAGCTAGCTGCCTTCCGGGTTATCTGGGACATGGGGACACGGCTACCCCAGGACAGCCGTGTGCACAGGGGTTCTGGTGCCCGGCTCCTGCCTCTTTGACCAGGAACAGCCCAGGGCAGCTGCTCAGAGGGTGCCTGAGCCAAGCCCCACCCCCACCTCAAGCAGCCTGATGTGTTCTTGAAGACAGTCGTCCACTCAGCATCCCGTGGCTTGGAGTCCTCATTGGGCTCTCGCTCCCAGCCCGAGTGGGGCACAATGACCTCGTGAGTCAGTGTCTGTAGGCCATGGTCAATGATGACCATCTTCAGGGGCTCGTAGGATGACAGGTTCCAGAGTGTGCCTGTGGGGCACCGTTGACGAGCCAGTGCTGACCATGGGCAGAGCCTCCCTATCTCCCACGTGACCCCGCCCAGGACCTGCTGCACCCTCCACCGTGCCCCAGCTCCAACCGACTGCAGCAAGTGATGAAAGCTGTTAAGAGGTCCTGAGTGCCTCTCCTGGCCTGGGCACATGGTACCCACCACTGGCTCCCACAGGGGTGGGGAGGGTGGGGTCCCGAGGAGCTGGGGCAAGAGGAGGGGCTGGCAGGGAGCCTGGGGCCAGATACAGCAGGTGCCTTCTCTTCCCCACCCCTTCCCGGCCACATAGGTGCGCAGGCCTACCACTTCTGGGGCCACACTGAGAGGTGCTCGCGCAACCCTGCCTGGCAACTCCAGTCCCACAAGACACAATCCCCACCACTGTCCTGTGGGGAGTGGGACCAGTGGGGAAGGGGCCTGCTGGAAGGGCCCAATGCCAGCCCCACCAGTGGCAGCAAAGTCAAAGGTAGAGATTGGGGCCCTTGCTTGGCCAGGCACCACTCACCTGTGACGAGCTCTCGGACCTCGTTGTCCCGGGCAGCCCGCAGCAGGCGCACCAGGGCCGGCACGCCGCCGCAGTCCCGGATGGCGGCCTTGTTGTCAGTGTCTCGGCCATAGGAAAGGTTTCTCAGGGCCCCGCAGGCCCGGCGCCGCACCTCTGCCCTTGGGTGGTCCAGCAGAGCCACAAGCAGCGGCAGTCCCCGCAGCTGCCTCACGCGGCGCTTGACACCCTCATTCTCAAAGCACAGGTGCTGCAGGTAGGCAGCCGCGTTGGCCTTCACAGGGTCCACGGGATGCCGCAGCATGGCCAGGACCTCGGGCAGCTCAGGGTCCCGCCACCGTGGCTCCTTGCGGGCACTGTCCACAGAGGGCGAGTGCCGCACCACCCGGTCCAGGCTGCCCAGGCTGCCCCGTTCTGGCTGGGCCAGGGGAGCTGTTGTGGCTGGGAACGGGGGCCTCTCTTCCATCATCTCACCGCTATCGTCTGCCACGTCCTCGTAGGCCCTGTGCAAGTGAGCAGGGCACATGAATGCATCTCACCGGCTGCTAGCCCCATCCCTAAGCTGCCCCAGCAGGCTTCCAGGGGACTATGAACCCACAGAGGATGGGGCTGGGCTTAGAGTGTTGGTACTTGGCTCCAAGCACCACGTGGGTGCCAAGAGTCATACCTCAGCCCAGTAAGAACTGACTCAAAACCAGTGAAAGAACCAAACCCCAGGCAATGGCCATCAGGGCTTGCATCCTCCCAGACATGGCTCGCTCTCTCCATCACAGGGCAGTGTCCCCTGATTCTGAGCTAAACGTGTTTCTTTCTATGAAACATCTGTCTATGACTGGAAGTCCCACCTTCCCATGCGGCCCATCTCTGGCTGCTGCCAGGATGTCAGGGGAGGAGCTGATCCTCTCTGCACGTGGCCATCCTGGTGGGCCCATCTGAGGAGCCTTCAGACCACCAGTCCCCAGGACACAGATGTCTCTGTGGGTTGTCACCATTAAACCCACTTCCTGGGGGGAGGGGATCAAGGCCAGGAGGGGCCAGGTGTCTTGCCCATGGTCATGCCGCACACTGCGGGCCCAGGCTGCGGTCATGTTCCCACTCTACAGATAGAGAAACTAAGGGCAGAGAGGACAGAACCAGAGGTTTTGCTGAGAAGGGGCAGGGGTGGGGGTCTGGGTTCTAGCTGCAACTACACATGGGGGAAACTAAAGCTCAGGGAAACACCTTGAGCCTCTTGGGTTCCTGTCTTCAGGGCTACCTGCCTAGAGCAGGGGCAACAGGTGGGACAGTGGGACACTGTCACCAGCTTCTTTCAGGCCCCAGACCTACAGGGAGGGCATCTAGCGCAACTTCCACCATCCTAGAGCCTATCCTTGCTGCTGTCCTGGAGAGAAGAATGGAGGCCCAGCTGACATGTGAATGACCGGCTAACTTAGCCCCAGCAGCCAGAGGGCCTGTGGGGTACTCTGAGGCAGGTGAGTGGGAAGGCAGGCTCCCTGGAGGCGGTGGCAGGGCGCGGGGTGCTCACCTAGTGCGAAGGCCCCGCCCACAGTCAGGCCTCCTCCTCGTGGCCGTGCCATAGTCAGCTTCCAGCTCCGGGCCGCCCCCATCATCGGCAGCCAGGCTGCGTGTGTCGTCCTCCAAGCCATATGGCTCTGCCTGGAAGCGCTCAGGCTGGGAGCGGCTGGCCGGCGGCACAGGCTCAGGGCCCTCAGTGAAGGCTTCACGGCGGCCAGGCAGTGTGAAGCAGCCATCCCCGGGCCCTGGGCCAAGGGGGCCACCACGAGGGGGCCGCACCCCCAGCCCACGGGACAGGCTGCCATAGCTCGGGACGTCACGGGGCTCCGGACTGTCAGGAAAGCCAATCCCACTGCTGAGGTAGGTTCGAGAGAGCGTGGCAGCTGGGCCACCCCCACGCAGCAGGAAGTGCCGGTCCAGGGGGCCATCAGCAAAGTGCCCCAGCGGAGGGCCACCATCCAGGATGGGGAGGCCGTCTGGGCCCATAGGCACCTGGCGCACTGTCCGTGTGGTCACTGTCTTGACTGTCTTGGTGACCTGGTGAGAAAGTAGACAGCCAATGGGCTGGGCAGCCTGAGGGACCCAGACACTGCCCCACAGGGCCAGAGTGGCCTGCCTTCTACCAGAACAAGGGGCCCACAGGAGGCTGGACATGCGCCCACTCTACAGATGGGACAATGGCGGCTACATAGCCCACATGCCAACCACTGGGGCCCAGACATACCTTGGTCTCCGTGCGCCTTGTAGTGCCATCTTCCGACATGACGATGGACACATGCGAGGTGGGTGTGCCAGGGTCCTCCTCCACTGTCACTGTCTCCTCTAGCACCTCAGGTGCCTCTGGCATTGTGGCCAGTGAGACCTGGCTGCCTGGGCTCTGCTCCTGGGTGAGGGGTGTGGGTGTTGGTGGGAGGACTCAGAGCTCACCCCGCCCTAGAGTGCAGGTAGGTGCTGGCCTGGATGCCAGGAGTGACTTCATTCTCGCCCCCAAAACCCACTGACCCTAGGGTTTGTCTCAGCCCCAGCTGTGAGAACAACAGTGTGCTCCTGCCTCTGAACGCTGACAGGCTGACCCTGCCCTGTTTCCCCATCCCAAGGGTGGCCACAGGGGCTGGCCTCCCTTCCCGGGCCTCCTGGGGCTGAGCTGGAAAGTAAGGCCCAGGCCTTCAGTGGTGTAAGTGTGGGCAACCGTGTCTTAGCTGTGAGGCCTGACTATTGCAGGCTCCTGGAGGCCCAAGGCCAGGTGGGACCCGCAGGATGCTCTCCAGGTGTCCTGGGCCTCCTCTCTGCCCCACCTCAGGAATGTTGAGTACAGAAGCCTTGGGGTGGCAGCTTCAGTACTGTTCACTGACTCCCTGTGGCCCAGGCTCCCCCTGTTCCTAAGGCCAGCCAGACACCCTCGCAGGCCAGAAATACCCAGTTCCCAGAATGCCCTGTGCACTCAGAGCACCAAAATATCCTCGTTCCTTCCGGCCCAGACACTCTTGGGGTGTTGAGTGGGCAAGGCCTGGCCCTACCCTCACTGAGACCCTGGGTGTCGTATCAGAGCCCAGTGATTGAGGCCAGAGGGCCCTGCTTGTCCTTGACAAGAACACCAGTGACTCCTCCCTGTTCACCACCCCAGGTGTCCCCAAACTTGGCCCTCAGCTCCCAAACACCTGCCTCATTCTCAACCTGTGCTTCCCCTTTGCCAACATCCCTGCTGGGGTGACCATGATGGAATTCCAAGCAAAATGGCCCTGGACAGAGGTCCTTTCAAGGTCCACATGTCTACCAGCCAGTGGGGAAACTGAGGCTCAGAGGACAGGCCAGCCCACAGCTCAGTGGCAAGATCAAGAGTCTACCCATAGGTCTCTGACTATATGGGTCCCCCACATAGCACCGATGTCTCAGGGTCAGCATCTGGCCAGGACGGGTAGGGACTGAAACCCAAGCCCCAGGGGGCAGGCAATGGGGAGCACATTCCTGGACAGCCAGGGCTGGGTCAGCAGAAGGGCAGGCTCTGCTCCGCAGCCCAGGCCCCATGTCTTGCAGGATGCATCCCCTGGCTGGGCCCCAGGCACCTACATCCTGTGCAGACATGGAGCTGAAGCCCAGGGAAGGCCAGCAGCTCCCACCTGCTTCTGCCTGGCATCAGAGCCCTACTCTGTCTCCTGTCCCAGGGCCTCGGAGTTATGCAGAGAAAGGTGGCTGGAGCTGCCTTCAGGGCCTGCCTCCCGAGGTCCTCAGGGTGTAACATTTTCCTAGGTTGGGTCCTGTTCTGAAGGAATGCTTGAGCCCCGCAGCGCCTCACAGTGTCAGGATTGAGTCCCTGCAACCTCTTCAGGGGTCCAAAGAGGGGTCTGACCAACATGATAGGACAGGTGCATCCCTTGGGCTCTGTTAACCCAGAAAGGAAGACGCTACAGAATGCACACTCCCACCCCAGCCCAGGCAGGAAAAAACACGTGATTTTTTAAAAGGGAAAATGAGGTCTGACAGAGGGCAGAAGATCTACCCAGAACCTCACAGAGTGCTAACCGGGGAATTTCAGGCATCTGTAAAGGCAATTTGACAAAGCCTTTTAGCCACACTGCACCCACTGTGGGCCGCAGCCTTGGCTGTCACCTTCTCAGTCTTGGGACACAGGTGGAGTTCCCGTTGGAGACCTGGCCAGGAAGGAGCAGTGTTCCCTGGGAAAGAGAAGTAAACTGAGGCCCAAAGTAGGGACATGCTGGAGGGCTGCCGGGCAGGGTGGCCCGAGAGCTTCTCCGAGGGCACTGGAGAGCCAGGACAGTTCTGGAACAGGAGAAGGTTCAGGAAAAGCTCATCACTGCTGGGGCCTCAGCTGCCCCTGTACTTAGCAAGTACGGGAGCAAATGTGTGGCAGGGAACGAATTCTCTCTGCTGGGCCCTGGGGGACCAGGCTTCGAGGGGCCTCAGGCCTTGCCCTGCTGGCTGCAAATGCGGGAGGGGAAGGAAGCAAGACTGACATGAGGGGACCAAGACTGTTGCCCAGGACACTGCACTGCCAGTGAGATATGGCCCCTCAGTAGGTTTGCGTACATTTGCATATATTAACACTCTCAGACAAGAGCCCATACTCCTTGGCTGGGATGGTGGGAGGGGGAGCACATTTCAGACCCAAGGCTACTCTGCAGTCTAGCTTCATCTCACTCCTGCCTGTGGTGAGGTTCTGACAGTGTAGTCAGGAGCACGAGGGGATGGGGTGTCAAGGGGAGCTGGGGTCCTCCAACAGGCCTGACAATCCCGCAGCATCACCTACCAACCCCAGTCCAGGCAGCCCTGCAGCGTGATCTGGAGGTACCGAGAGCCCCTGCTGGCAAATGACCTCAGGGAGCTAAAAACAGGCGATGACTTCACCCAGGCGGGCAGGCAGGCAGGAGCCTGAGTCAGCTGGAGACCATGGGAGGGCCTGGCCCCCATTTCACATGCCTGGGCACACACATGCAGACAGGGACTTGGACACACGTGTGCATGAGACTGCAGCCTGGCCCACAGGCCTGAGGAAACCAGTTTGTGCACTGTCTTCACAGCACTCAGTGCACAGTGCCCACCCTCCCGAGGCACTTGTCTGTGTGCACACGCCCTCATCGCCCCTCCTGTCCTCCACCATGTGTCCAGACTCCCTCTGCCACAACCCAGGCATCTACTACAGGAGTCTAGAGCTGGCAGCAGATGGGCAAACTGACGCCTAGGGGAGGAAGAGTCCCAGGGTCGACCCACACCATAGAACTCTGCAACACTTTTGGGTAGAGACATGGGATCGTGGGCTGGCGACCAGCACACAATTGGCACTCAACAGAGGAAGCTGCCCAGTGTGCCTGGACCCTTGTCTGGCCTTGAGGCCCTGCTCTAGGGCCCCATGTCTCACCCATGTCCACCTACCCAGGCCAGCCCACCCTCAGGGATCCCTGGACCTGTAGCCCTGGTTCTCCCCATACCCCAGACATGGGTACCTACCTGGACATACCACCCCCAGCCCTCCCCTATGTCCCAAATCCTGCCATGTCCTGTCAACTTCGTCAGCACCCCTTCTCCAGCCCTGGCCTCATCCTTGCAGATCTCACTGGGAGCACTGTTCAGCCTCCCATCACCCACCTCCTGGGCCTTAATCCATCCCATGATACTGCTACCCATGGTCCACCATGGCCCCTGGGCTCTGGCCTGCACAGGGGTTGCTCTCCAAGCCAGGGTCTCCCATGAGCTCCCTTGAACTTATGGGAGGGGCCTGGCCCAGGCCTCCCAGTGGGGGCTGGAGTACTCCAGAAAGGTGATGCTCTCAAGAGGGTGCCTGGAGGCATGGAGCTAAGCACAGCAAGAGGGCCCTGGGCCCCTCCACACACCAAGGGCTCAGCTTCCTTACACAGAAACAGGAAGGGCCTGGGTTGTCAAGGCTGTAGGACAGCCAGGGGACAGTGCCAGTCCACCTTTGTGACCAGATGTGGGATAGCACATAGAGGGGCCACTACCAGGGCAAAAGTCTACTAAAGTCTCTGTGGTGCATGTGGGAATCGTCCAGGGGGTGGGGCCAAGGAAATAAGCCGAGCTGCAATGTGGGGGGGGGGCAGGCTGGACGTGGGTCTACCTGTGCTGCCTGCACTTGACCAGTGAGTGCCCACAGTGTGAGTCACAAGGAACCACGGGGCAGGTGTCTCACTTTGTCCTCGGGCCCGAGGCAAACACAAGGAATGGGTTGAGGTGGGGCCCCACACCTGGCTCCCATAACCTCTGGGCCAGGACCCCAGGCAGTGTAAGATGGGTGCTGCTGAATGGATGGAGGGGTGGAGCAGCCACAGCCCCCTCCCACCAGCATGGCCATCCCAGCTGGACACAAGGACAAGCCAGGCTGGCATTTCCTACCAGGGAGCAAGCCCTTGACCACCACAGACACCCTCTCCCTTGGTGCCATGGCCTCTGCGCAGCCCTGGCAGACTGGAGCTCACTCCTCTATGGCAGCAGTCCTCCTGTCCGGGGAACTGCCTCACATTGAGTGGCAGACAGGCCAAGGGGGTAGTGGATGCCTTGTGGGGGACAGAAAGCCAAGCTGGCTGTCATCCACCCCAATTTCCCCAAGCCCAGCCCATATCCATTGGTCACACTGTGGGTCACATTCCCCAACACCCCCAATGGCCCTTCCATCCCTGGGGTAGTCAATTACCAGTGACCAGACCCTGGGGGCCACATCAGGGATACAGAGCAGGCAGCGATTGGCTGTCCCAAGCAGGCAAGTGCGTGGGAGACCTACCTCATAGCAAAAGGGGCGCGGTGAGGTTCTTCCTCAACTCAGCGTGTTTTCGGGCTTATTATTGGACCCCGCCCCCTCTGGGCAAGAGTGTAGGTAGCCCACATGCTTCCCCCCGCCCCAGTACTGGAAGGCAGACTGCCCGGGTTTTCCTCAGAGACTCCACCCGTCTCTGCACGTGGGCAGGGACGTCCTCCACCCCTTCCCTCACGTGCGCTGCCGCTGCAGACAGGGCTTCCCTTAAAGCTCCCTCCCGAACCTCCTTCGCAGGTCCCCAGAGTCCGAAGCCGCGCTGGGTCTTTGGAGGGGATGGGAGGTCCAGGGAGTCCCCGGGACATGGAGGCCTAGCTGGGCTTCCCCCTCCGGACTCTGCCTCTCTCCTGCACGGAGAAGGGTGCTCTGAAAGGCCTTCGCCCCCCACCCCTGTCGCCAGCACCTGTCCTGGGAGCTAGACCCGGGTGCACCCACCAGGTCCCGGCCCTGCTCCCCGCGCAGGGTCTCACGGGCCAGGGCCCTCGCGCCCCGCCCCCGGAGACCTCGCGGCCCTGCGCCGAGCACAGCCTCCAGCGGCGCGCCCACCCCACTGCCCCGCCCGGCCCAGCCCGACGCGGCGGTCCGGAGCGCAGACAATAGCCGCCTCCGGCCCGCGGCTCCAAGGAACAAAAGCTGGTCCTCCGAGGAAGGCCGGCGCCCCGCCCTCCGCCGCTAGTCCCGGGATCAGGCCCCATCACCCGGGACCAAGTTCCCTCCAACCTGTCTGAGTTCGGCCGGCATTGGGCCGGCTCGGGAGGCGCGAGTCGGAGGTGGGGCAGCAGCGGCTGGACCGGGCTCGGCTCCGACGCCTCGACCGCTCCAGCTCCAGCTCCGCGGACTCGCTCCCCGCGGGGGCGGATCTGGCAGCGGTCACAGCGACCAGCCAATCGGGCGGGGCCGCGCCCAGGCGGGGCGGGCCTGGGCGGGGCCCGGTGGGCGGTCCGGGCGCGGGGCGGGGCGGATGGGAGGCAAGATCTGCAGCCAGAGCGGGTCAGGGTCTCTCCTTCAGCAGGCCTGGGCTTCTCGTCCCTTCCCCGCACCCTCCTTCCCCGCAGGGGTGATATATTTCCTGTCCAGGGACTTGGGCCCAGTCCTTCTCCAGCTTCGGTTTTCCCCCAGTAAAAGAGCTCATAGGTCTTTTCCCCTGTAGAGTTGGGGAAACAATTCTGGCAGTGCAGGGTTCAGTGTAGCTAAGGACAGAGTGCAAGGCCATCTCAAGGGCACAAGTTGCCCATCCGGGCTGCGACTCAGTTTCCTCTTGCTGTGAAATGGGGGGCGATGGGACAGTAGTTACAACAGCGCTAACGGTGCTGCAAGTTCTCTCAGATCCGGCTCCAGGCCCCTGCTCATTCCCAGAAAGGCCCCCCAAGTAAGTGTCCCCACAGAGCTCAACACACATGGCAAACGGACCTGCACTGACCCACTTTATCTTAGGCCTTTCCCCTCAAGACACAGGCCTAGGATCCCTCTGAGGAGTGTCAGAGCAGATCAAAGGGAGGGGAAAACTGTTTAGTGACCCTGCGTGAAAACTTATAGGCTGAGCTGTGTCAGACCCTCTTTCCTCCATGCCTTTGACCTTTTGGGAAGTGGCAAGCGGTGGGAGGCGAGTGGGCGGGGTTGGCGTGGTTCAGAGTAAGTGGTTAATCAGAATGCACTACCCACTCCTTCCAGAAGCCTGGTGAGAAGGTGCAGTCTCTGCTGGAAAGAAATGTAGACAAGGGAAGGGCTGGGCTAGGCCACCCTTTGAGTCACACCCCACAAAAACAAGCTCTTGCATTATGATCAAGGTAACTAGTCTCTTAGAGGAACAGAGCCAGGGCCAGCCTGCCTCCTATCTGTTTTTCCACAGACCCCACTGAGAAAACCGAGCCACCTCAGGGCCTCTCTTCTTCCACAGTGTGCTGTGTACACCACCACACAGCCAGCATGCTCAAGCACTCTGGGTGTCCACTGCATGTCTCTCTGAGCCTCAGTTTTACCACCTGCACAGGGGTGAGCTGACCTGACCACCGGCCCCCTGTGTCATCTATCCAGGGCGGCCCTTGGTAGAGCAAAGCAGGGGGACTGGACCGCTGCCCTAAGGGAACTTGGCCTGGATGCTTACCCTGCGTTCATTTCTGTATTCTCCCAAATTCCACCAGCTGCTAGTGCCCCAGCCCAAGGCTGAATAGATCCCTAGGGCATCCTCCCACCCCACCCCCCACACACAGCACTGGGTGAGGGCCAGCCCTGCTTAAACCAAGGGAGGAGGGAACCCTTCCTGCTGGAGGGTGAAAGGGCAGGCAGCCAGGACTGTGGAGCAGCCTAGGGGGCAGGGGGGCCATAGCAGCAGTAGCCCCTGGTCTCTCAACCCCCTAGCTCCAGCTACCTGTCTTGCCACCAGCCCCCAAGCTGTGCAGAACCTGGCTCTGATCCTGAGGACCAGCTCCAAGTAGCCCTGTGGCTCAGCAGGTAGATCACCAGGCACCTCACACTGCGATGGGTCTGGAAAGCAGGTTTGGCATCAAGGCTGCCAGGCCTGGATAGTCAGATGTGAACCCACCTCCCTGCTCTGTCAGTCTAACCACCACCCCGGGAACGCACGCTCTCCTATCTCAGACTGGGAAGATCATCTCCTCCCAAGGGAAAGAAAATCAAGGGCAGTCTGGGAAAGCCTCGGATGGGGAGGGGTGGTGGGGAAAGAGGGACAGTGGCCTGAGGTCTTCCCTCCACAGCCCCCAGGAAGCCAGGGCAGCTCCAGGCCATGGGAACATCTTCCCTCCAGGGGCATCAACCCTTGGCAGTGCCTTCTGGGCTAAAGGGTCAAAAAGCTTTTTCCGGCCAGGGAGGGCTGGATAGAGCGTCTGGCGCCTGAGAGGTGGCCTCGGGGTCATCAGCTGTTGCTGTCCTCATGTGGCCCAGCTGGGCTCTTCTGCTCCCTCTTGAGTTTGGAGGTACACGCCTCACCTTTGGAAGGCTCAGCAGGACCAGGGAAGGGAGGGTGTGCATGTGCTCGGGGACACATGGAGAGGAGCTCTGGCTGTCAAGTTTAGGAGAACACCCCTGCTGCCCTGCCCAGGGGACTAAGGAGCCCACTGGGAGGGCCCTCCAGTGTCACTACATGGAAATCAGGGGAATCAGCAGACCTCTGCCCGCTACGCCTCTGAGCCTGATGGTGAGGAAGGGCCACAGTGGGAGGCCTGCAGGGTAGACCCCCACCCAGGAACCCTACCCCCAGCTTCCCCCAAATCCCTGGGACAGCTCCACCCTTGCCTGTCCCCTACCCGTGCCTCAGTTAATAATGGAAACCAAAATAACTGCACCAAACTCCAGGATTCCCACATTTCCCTGTCCTGCCCCTACCATCCCGCGAGCAAGGTGCTTTTGTCACTCATCTGCAGGATAGACACTGGGGCACAGTGGGAGGTGGGAGGAGGCCAGGTGGACTAACTCCTGAGCATGCACCCCGACTTCAGAGTTCTCAGGGCCTGGCCACCGAGCAGACAGGTTTCCACACCTCCTGGGGGCTGATCAGGAGCCTGAGCCAGTGGAGAAACTGAGCTCCCAGGTCACCCTCTGAGCTGCAGGCAGAACCCAGGGCCTTGCTTGAGCCTCCCACTGGAGCTGACCCGTTGATGCATGCTATGAAGAACACCATGGCAGGGAGATTCCAGGGCTGGCAAAACCGTCAGTGTCACCATGCTGACCACTGAGCTGCCCAAGACAGACCCTGTCCAGCTACCTGGGTTCTGGAGTCTCACTCAAGTGGAGGGTGCTGTTCTGAGGGTCAGGTTGTGTCCAGCCCATTCATCACATGGTGCCCTGCACACCCAAGTAGGATTTCTAGTCTGTTTGGGGTCCTACTTTTCCCTCCTCAGAGGCCCCAGGAGGTCTTGTAATAAGCCAATGCATGCTGGCTTGTGGCCCACCAGGGCCCCTTGATTGTTTTCCCACTTGGCTGTTTTCCCCTTCCTGTGTCACTGGGCTGTTACCTGCAAGACCAGCTGTTGCCAAGCCATCGGCAGGGGCTGCCCACTGCCCACGCCACCACTGCCCACACCAGGCTGCTGGGCACGCTCCAGCTGCAGGGCAACATGGCGCCGCTCCTGCTCTAGTGCCCATGTCAGCCGCTCGAAGCGAGCTTCCTGCTCCTTCACCGAGGCCAGGATGCTGGCAGCCGAGTGCACGTTGCAGTCCTCCATGGCTGGGACGCCTGCTGGCTGCAGGCAAAGCAGAGCAAGGTCAAAGTAGGGCCAAGGCTGAGGCCTGGAGAGGCCACCATGGGCCCCCTGCCTACCCCACTCACAAATCATACAACTCACTCCCAGACTGGAGCATCCAGCTCTCCAGAGAGAAGCCACATTGATTAAATTCTAAATTAAAAGCCATTAATCTGAGGCTGGCCGGAAGCAGCTGGCTCCTTCCCTGCGGGGTATGGGGATCTGACCCAATCTTCCCCGATGCTTGGCAGGCCCAGCAGAACCATGGACCATGGGGGTCCCAGAGCCCACTGGGAAGGGAAGGGCAGGAAGAGCTTGGTGTAACCAATACTCAGACCTCCCAGGCCCTCTGCTGCCCGCTGCACATGCCAGCTCAGCACAATCTCATAGGACATCCCAGGCTCATTGAGGTGAATTCTGGGACCCAGAGAGGGGAGGGGACCTGTCCATGGCCACACAGCTGGTGTGGCAGAGTGCCTGCATCAGTGAGCAGGGAGTGAGGTATCACTCCACAGCTGCCAGGGTACCCGGGACACCCAGGCAGGCACAGGGGTGTCATCTGCCTATAGGCCAGTGGTCTGGGCTCCATCCACAGCTACGTTGGCAGAAACAAGGGTGACATCTACCCACACCACAGAGTGAAAACCGCACACAGCCTGAGTACAACTCTGTGCCTGAGAATGGCCCACGCTGGACATCGGATCCAGAGGGAGCCTGAGGGCAGGGGCCCCGTCTCCCCAGGCCCAGTGTGCCGCTGGTCTGGGTCCCGGTCCAGTGCTTCCCCTGCAGGTCCCAGGGAATCTGGTGGGGGTGGCGGGGCTTGGCAGCTGCAATGACGAGCCAGCGCTTTTCCTCGCCGCTGCTCCCTGGCTGATCAGTGTGTTTGTTTTTCATGGGCAAAAAGAAGCAGGAGGAGTATTTGGAGTTCACATCCAGCCGCACGGCAGTGTGTGGGGTGCAGACCATGTGACCACACTGCCAGGCACTCTGGTGTGCCTCATGGTGCAAACTGCTGCTCGGGGCCTCCTCCTGGCCCCTGCCCCCTCCACCCACGTAGGGCCTGAGTTTAGAGACACAGCACAGTGGGCAGCACCTGAGGAGCTCCAGCTCTTCAAGGCTGCAAGGGCAGAGCCCCATGGAGGAAGGGTCAGTGCTAGGTTTGGTCACACCAATGGTGGCTGGGCCAGGCACACTCTTGGGAGTATGGGTGCACCTTGAGTTGAAAGGACATCACAGAGTCCAGTCCACTGTGACACCTGGGGAAACCGAGGCCCAGAGAGGAAAAGAGGCCAGTGTTGGTCCCAGAAGCTGCTCTTCATTTCCCCAGCACCAGTCACACAGATAAACTGTCAGCATGACCTAGAGGAGGAGCAGTGAGGTCAGCACAGTGGGAAGAACGAACTGAACTCCTGCTGGGAGAGGTCCTGGCACCCACAGAGAGGTGGGGGTGCAGTGGGCAAGATGTCAACCAGGTCCTCTGGCCAGTAGGGAGTAAGGGACAAACAGCATGGCATGTACAAAGCCGTGGGCACGCAGCCTCATGTACACCCACCACTGCCTATGCAGGGGTCCCAGACACACCTGCATGTGGTGGCCACCAGGCCTTGAGCACAGATCAGCTAAACCTGGCTGCCCTCAGCTGTGAGGCCCTTCCTCCTTGGAGGGCAGCACAGGGCAGGGTGGAGGTCAAAGCAGGTCAGGCTTCAGCCAGCTTTGACAGTACAGGGCAGTCAAAGCTAAGCCTCGAGGTCCTGGGCATCCCTGCTGGGACCAAGGCCACTCGTATGAGGGGAAAGTGTGCCAGGGAGGTGATGGTCAGGACCCATGGGACAGGGGTTGGCCTCATGGCCAGGACCCTCCCTCCTGCGCAGAGATATGAGTTGCTGACTGACCTCAAGCTTCCCCTCCCCCGCCCCAGCAGGACCAGGTCTGCACTGCAGATCCTGGGGTCAGCAGGCAAGGGAGCAGCCTTAGCCTCCAGCCTCCCTGGCCTGGGCCCTCCAGCATGCCCTGCCCAGCTCTGGGGTCCAAGGAGCCCCCTGAAAGAGGCCCACTAGCTCTGGCTGGGGCCTGGCCAGGGGCCCAGAATTCTGAGGCTATAGTGAGAAGGTGGCCAAACCTTGCACTGACCTTTCCATTGCTCAGTTCTCTCAGCTGGAGCTAAATGACTGTGTGTCTCCCAGGTGACACCCTCAAATGCCAGCCAGCTTGAGGGTGTAGTGCCCCGCAGCCCCCGCAGGAGAACAGAGACTCCAAGTCCTGGGCAAGCGCCCTCTGCTCTAGTCTGAGGGTGCACCCCCCTGCCTGTGAGGGAGCCAAACCTTGCAGACTGCAGCCTCGTCACCTTGGTGGCCTCAAGGGCAGCCCTGGCATGCACAGGAGACTGGGGCCATCCGGTAACCAGGCCCACTCTATTGACACAGCAGCTTCCCCAGGTCCCAGGTGTGTAGGAGCACGTGTGGGCACAGGTGACCCAGGCCACTGCCCCAGAGGCAGCTTTTCTGATGGTAGCTCAAAATGCTAGTTTTATATTAGAATGATAAATATGTAATGACATGAAAGGCAAAATGTACATGAATTTTAAGATCGACCATGAGACTTCAAAGATGTTTTCCCAAGCCCGGCCCTGGGGTAGGGCCCGATCCTGGGTAGTGGTGGGCACCAGACTCACTCCTGCTGTGCCCTGGGTAGCTCTGGAGGCAGGCAGGGAGGTGCCACACTGTGAAGCTTTGGCTAAGCCTCGCTGGCCTCCCTGGCTGATGTCATGGCTACTGCTCTCCTGGGAAGGACACTGCCTGCATTGCCTGTGGGGCAAACCCATCCCAACCCCCACCCCAACCCCAGCCACCACCTTCACAAGTCACTTTTCACCACACGCGCTGGCCTGCCCGTGGAGGTAATTTAGCAAGAAGACAGGAACAAACATGCCGCCCAGAGACAGTCTTGTCTGTCCCGGGGAAGGAGTGGAGGTGCTCAACCTGGGGAGAGCCTGTCCAGATTTGGGTACCCAGGAGTGAACCCGGTGGAGGGACTGGTGGGTGGGTGGAGCGATGCAAGTACAGAGGCCAGATGCCAGGGGAAATGAATGGCCGAGTAAGTGGATGTGTGGGTTGCAGAATAAGTAGGTCGTTGTATGAGAGGATGGGGTAGATGGGTGGCTGGCCGGATAGATGGATACTAGGCGGTCGGTGAGTGGATAAAAGTATGGGTGCAGGAATGGGAGGCTGGCTGGAGGAATGAGTAAATGGACAGGTAGGCAGATGAATGCGTGGGCAGGTGGGCAAGAACGAGGCTCTGAAACACCCCTGGGAGAAGGGCGCCCAGCTCCCAAGCCTTCTGGGCACAACTGTAGACAACACGCTCCATCAGGAACGAGAAGGCGCTATCAGAGGGACTCGGGGGAAGACGCTGATCCTCCCTCTAGAGCCTAAGCCCACATTTGACGTCTTTCTGCTAACCCAGACATTCCTGCTCACAGGGAGTACAGCCAAACCCTGCTCCAGAAAATCAAATTATGGAGCCTGAGTCCAATCTGGGTGGAGGAATTAAAGGAATTTCCTAAGGGTCAGGCCAGCAGGGGGTGGGTAGGCAGGAGGCTTGGGCTCCAATCCTGACCCCTCACTGGCCATCTGTCAGTACACTGCCTGCTGCCCCTGTCCACCCTGGGGGGAGACAGGGGACTGGCCAGAGGCTGAACCTTCCCCACCCCCACAACCCCACCCACCTAGATGGGGAGGAAGCCGTGAGAGCAGGAGCAGAAGCAGAAGAGCAGAACCCAGGTTGGTGGCACTGTGTCCCCTCTGCCTGAGGGTGTCACCGCTCCACCTCAGCACTGCCAGCATGATGGGGACTTGATCCCTGCTCCTCTGGCCAGGCCTCGTGGGGGGCTCCCTACTGTGGTTCTAGCCACGAGGATGGCTTCTGTGATCTGTCCAATCAACACACACTGTGCCAAGGCTGGAGGCCTGGGGCATGGGCCCCAGAAATGGAGCAGGAGGCCTGGGGCACGTGGTTCACACAGGGCGGAGTCCTCGTCAGTCTTTCTGTCCCAGCCAGCACCACTGGGTCACTCATAGTCGGTGTGAGACCTCAGGTACCTGGGTGGGAGGAGGCTGTTCTCAATCTTAAAGCACTGGAAGGAACTGCTGAGGGAAGACGGACCGGCTTGGCTTTGTGAGAATGAAACATTTCTTCACGTCCAAAATAAGAGTCGTGTATTGTGGTTATAGGTTGTTTTTTGTTTTTTTTTTAAGAGACAGCATTTACAGTAGCACATGTGTAGAACATTTCAGACAAAAGACAATGAGTTTACTTCTAGACTGTGACGTCATCATGGCGGAAGCTGGGAGGGGTACACGGGGATGTGTCACACTAGCTTCTCTACCTCTGCGTGTTTGTAATCGTCTCTAATGGAAAGTAGGAGAAAAAGACACAAAGACAACCAAAAGACAATTGACACATTGGGATCAAGTCTTTGCAACATCCAGTAGCAAAGTGATATCCTTTGTCTATAAAGTGCTCTTATAAATCAATTGGAAAAACCAAAACCCCAACTTAAAGTAGGTGATGGTTACGAACACGGGATGTGGCCAGAGAGACAAGAAGCAATGAGCGTGGAGACAGCTGTGCACAAAAGTATGGGCACGGAGAAGAGGACCGGAGGGAACCATCTCAGGCTGCAGCGGCTCCGGGCCCCTGGGGCCCGTGCCAGTGTTCTAGGAGGAGCATGAGCTCCTGCTATAATCAGACCCTAAGGAAGAAATGGGGAAAACAGACCCAGTGAGCGAGAAAGCTGAGGAACTCAGCTCCCTGGGGGCCTGGGCGGGGCTGAGCCTTGCTAACAACTGCCCAGGGAAGCCGCAGGATTTTCAGAGAGCTGGGAGAGTCGTCATTGCATTCAGCCTGGAAATTAGATTTCCCCAGCAGAGGAGGCACCTCCACTGCATTGGACCATGCACCACGGGGGTTGGGGGGGGGTGGGCAGAGATGGCCCCTCAGGG